ATACATAACACAAAAGTAATAAAATAAAATAAGTGAATTACTCATTATACCTTTGAGAGTTATATCCATGTGTTAATTTCCCAAAGCTTTTTTATTGAGCAAGACACCATTGTGGTAAAAGAAAGGTGATGAAAGTTCAAGATGTTGACATAGTTGGCTATTAGATTTTCCTTGGATAACTTCTAATTTGATTTTATGAATCTAAAGTCTTTTGTAATACCACAGTGATGATGGGGGTAAAAGTTCCCATTAATGAAAGTGGGATGGAAAAATGGGAACAGAAGTCATCACACTCTTGGACAGAAGGTGGCAGCAGCAGAAGCATCTGTGCTATCACTTAAGGAGTTCTGCCCTTTCACTGTGTAACTATCTCCTCCTTAGATTTTATTGTTTACTATTCAGTTGTAAAAGAAATTGTAACTATAATAATGTAATTGTGTAACAATCCAATAAAATAAAGTATACATTCTTTACTAATTTTTAAAAGTACCATTTTATAAAATAATTTTGCATTTGAAATTATTTGCAATTTTGCATTGTCTTGGTGAGTCATCTTTGTTCTAATGTATACTTTGAAATTTAATGTAACAGCATAATGTTTTAATACCTGAGTGCATGATCTACTCATTTTTCATTAAATAGAGGCTCATTCATTTATCATTCCAGAAAAAACTTTATCATCACCTTATTGGGTTCCAAAATAACTCTAGGAATTTTTATTGGTATTGCCTGAACATTGTATAAAAGTTAGTAGTGTCCCTGTCCTGGATCTTAATATTACTTACCAAGGAGCAAAAAGTAACACATTTTTCATTTTTAGGTCCTTCACATCTATACTAAACTTATTTCTAGCATCTGTCAGGAAATTAAAATAAGTAATGGATAAAGCTAACAATTTTTATTGCTTATTTTATGAATAGGACCTCTATTCTCACTATTTTAATTTTTGCACTATGAAAATGTAGTGACTTTTTAAAGTTGCTCTATGCAAAATAAACATTATTTTAAAGTCCCCTAGTATTTTCATAGATGATTGTTATCTGCTGAAATATTGTAGAGATAATTATATAACATTAAGTGTTGATTTCTGTGATAAATGCTTTACAGTTATTATCAAATTTAATCCTTAGGAAAAAAACCTTAGAAAAATAGTATGTGGTCTGAGTTCAAGAGAGGGAAATATTTAAATATATATATAATATATTGTACATATATGTATATATTTATTCACAAAAATAGTTTATGGTCAGAGTTCAAGAGAGAGACATGTGTGGTATGTGTGTGTGACACACACAATGACAGAGAACTATGTGAATATAAAATGTTACAATGATTCTCTATTACATCATCCATCTCTATGCCTTGAACAATCATTGCTTTGCTTTGGATCCTCTTTTCTAGCAGCCAGACAGTCATTTCCTGCCAAAAATCAATGTCAACATAGCCAAAAGCAAGCTCATCATCTTTTACTACAATCATTAAATAACCTATTTTTTAACCCATGATTTCCATTTTATTCCTCAAATATTGTTCAGTACACTCTACTTCCCTCATTTTCCCTGCAGGAAAATATGCCCTTGAAAGTAAATACTGATTATTTATAAATTGCTGTAGCTCTCACAACAGATTCAGACTCTCATTGATTAGAAAATTAAAGAATCCATCCACAAAGGGACCCAAGGACCTGGGGACATGAGGGCCAATTCCCTGGGATATTGGTGGTGTGTGACCTCTCACTCACTTGGATGATTTGAAGTCACAGTGAGTTCTCTACTGGGATACACCACCAGAAATAGCAGGTGGGTCTGTCATGATTGACTGGCACAGGCTTTTCTGAGAGGCTCCCTTCTAAGAAAGACCAGATTCCTGTGTTGGGTCACAGGGTAACATAGTTTGCTTTTCACTGTGATGACACAGATAACAGTTTTTCACTCAGGCATAACAGAATCAATGGCTGGCTCTAACATTTGTCCCTTTATAATAAAGTTGATCACCCAAATGACTGCCTGTGGGGTGTCCCTTCTACCTAAAAGAGATCAGACCCTTTTATCCATAGTCAAGTCTTTAAAGACAAGAAAACTATGCTCTGCCGATGTTTTAGACTCTTAAAAACAAGAATACATTATGTAGTTTATCTTATCATGAAAAGCCTCTGAGAGGAAAATCAATATATACTACTGTGGTGTCCCTTCACTCCTAATACGTTTTCTTCCATGAAATGCATAGGCTCTGTGCATATCATACAGATGCTTACGTCAAACTCATTAAGGGCTGCAGCCAGCTCGCCGATGCCCGTGTGGCCTTTGGCTTCGTCAGTGGGAGAGGTAGCTTGAGCAGCATTGGAAATGCCAGCAATGGCCTCCTGCACTTGTTTGAACACATAATCTCGGTTGGCTCTTGTGGCAGCAACATCAGGGTGGCGAAGAAAGGCTTGAGACGCTGTGTACAGCATTGTGGCATTCTTCTTCAGTGCCCCGCGAGCGGCTGCCATCTCATCCCTACAGTGAGGGTCTTTCAGCTCCTGTGTGTGCAAAAACAGGACATGCATAAAGTTTGCACAAAAGCATTTGCAGAAGTTGGACTAGCAGACTATTAGAGACACTAAAGTTTAGAAACAATCTTCACTCTGTCATGCTGTCCCTAGCTGCCAGAACTCTGCATATACTGTTCTATGTGCAATGGCTAAGCTTCCAACATCCAACCAACGCTGTAACTTATTGGGGCTCCATTTACCTGAAACGTTCTCCTAGAACTGACTCTCCACGAACTCATTAATCTACCTTTTCCCACGACACCCTGTATCTCTCCTATCAGTAGGGTGCATCATACTTTATTATACTGATTTATTTAAGCATATCTCCCTCTTATACTGGATCTCCAGTGACAGCAGAGAGCCCTGTCTGTTTTGCCCCATGGATCATTAGTCATTAGCACAGTGTTTGGCTGTTCAGATGCATTCAACATTTATAGTTAAAGGAATAAAAAATACGAGCCACCAACAAGGTAAGTGGATCACACAGTTACTTATCAGGAAATGGAAAATTTCAACTGTGGTCATATGAGGTCCTGCTTGCTTTTGTGTTCAGATACAAATGCAAATATAGAAGCTAAAGTTCTCATTTTTGCTTTGTGCATCCATGCTACTTCATTTTTGTTTTCAGAATTGGTTTTCTTTTCTTTTTTTTTTTTTGCAGTACTGGGGTTTGATCTTAAAGCCTTCACCTTCAGCCACTCCACCAGCTCTATTTTTGTGACAGGTTTTTGGAGATAGGGTCTGGCAGAACTATTTGCCTGGGCTGGCTTCAAACCATGATCCTCCTCATCTCTGCCTCCTGGGTAGCTAGGATTACAGACATAAGACACCAGCACCTGCTCATTTTCAGAATAGGGTTCTTTTTTTTAGTTAATTGCCTCTAATGGCAGCTTAATCACAGAGTTTCAAGAATAGAAATAGTAAGTCAATGATGATTTGTTTTCTTATTTTTAGATGTCATAATAATATACCACTGGGGACTCTCTTTACTTTCAGTTTTAAAAAGTAATACTAAGAAAACATGTGTATCTGTTTTGGAAGTGTTAGTGCAGTCCTGGTATCTGAGTTCTGAGTATCTCTGGTAGAATATTATTTCAAATTTTAAAACCCAGTAAAGTAATCCACTAGGGTTTGCTTCTGATTTGCTCACTTGGTACATAAGAGGTGAATGACCTTGCAAGAATGAATAATACATTCTTTTTGGGGGTCAAAGTGATTCTGATATAAGCACATTATATTTGATATGTAGAACTGTTAGGACTAATGAACAATAAATAATGAAGTGAGACATATATTCTCCTTTGCTTAAGTTCTAATGCTAGTCAACACAACCTCTAAATTTGGATTACTTAATTTGAGCTTTAGAAATGAAAATAAATAAATTGGTATCAAGCATGTGAAAGTGTTCTCCATGCTGGCAAGGATCTGAACAAGAAATTGATGACTTCTCCTGAGCAGTGATGAAGGTCTTTATTAACCTTCTTAAATCTAGTCCAGTATCCACACTAAAAAAATTGAAATATGGAAGTGAGAAATAGGGGTGGAAAATTTTCTTCATAAAGATATTCAAGGAAACATTCTTTATTCATATGAACTGGAAACAATCTAAATGCTGAATGATGAAGAATTGGTTAACTTCTGAAACATTTGTTGATGTACTGTTTATGTGACTATTAAAATTAGCCACACAGGTAATATTTTCAAGGTCATGCTACCATGTGGTAGCATGTGTGAGTCTCTGTATTTGAGCCCCAGCAACACACACACACACACACACAAATAAATGAAAAAGTAGAACAAAATGTGCATACTCACTTGCATAAGATTATTATAAATCTGTTAAAACATGGAGACAAATAACTAAAAGGCTCTGACTATCAGCACTATTTTTTTGTGGGTGGCAGGGCATTAGGCATTTGCTTTTTTGTTTTGTTTTGCTTTTGGCAGTACTGGGATTTGAATTCAGGGCCTCATGCTTGCTAGGCAGGTGCTCTACTAATTGAGTAGACTACTAGTTGAGTCCACCAGCCTAGGCATTTATTTTTACTTTTTCATTTTTCTTTTCTTTATTTTTTTCCAAATTTTATTGGTGTCTAAATTAACAGTTAATTAGACACAAGGTATTAAAGAAATTGAAAATAATATTTATATGTTTTTGCATATGAATACTTACTTTATGCTGATGGCCTGTGGTTCAACCTCCCTTCTATTTGCTATTTCCATGTGGATGTATATAAGCATCTCATGAACCATACACTTACAGTAAAATATAAACACTCTGCACAACTGGATACTTTGACTCTGCCTTTCTTTCTGATGGCTACCTTGGTTCATGGAGATCAAGGGGCACTGTCGCAGTTGTTTAAACAACCAATGGATTTCTAGGCCTCCCACCTGTGCTTCAGAGCAACTTTTTCAAGCAGCAGAGTGCCTGTTTTATAAGCAGAAAGGCCTAAGTTCAAACCCCAGTACTGGCAAAAAAAAAACTTAAACAGGATCGCATGAACTAAAATCATGTTTATGTGCCTGACATGCAAAGGACTACTTCTTTGTCAAGTTTGTTTGTAATCCCAGCTTTCTTAGCCTGGCATAGAGTAGACACTCAAAAATGTTTAATGCATGGAACTTTCCTATTGGTGAAAAAGTCACTAACAGGAATTGCCAAAAATGTTGAAGACTGCTTGGAGCAGTCAAAAGGATGGGTGAAAATAATTTTAACAGGCTCTTCCACACTTGGAGATGATTTCTTTTGAGAATAAGAACATGCTCCTTGGGAACAAAATTCTAATGGTGACCAATGTCCAAATAAAACTGTATGGAATTGAGAATGGTGTATGTAGGCAAAGGTGAGGCAAAGGAGATCCTAGGTCATCTGCCTTCATCAAGGTGACTCACATTCAACTGTACTCTCACTCCTCTCCTCCCTCCCCCCGAAGTTTTGTCCCCGTTTTCTTCTCTTTTTATAAAAGTTTCCCTTCATATGCTGCATATTCTAGGTGTGCATACTCACAGTGGTATCCACAGGGCTAGGAGATAATACCTAAGGGCCATGGTGTCATCCAGAGAATTATCACAGAACCATCCTACGGTTTGATGTTTTTGACTTTACCTGGAGCTGTTCCTATAGTGGACAGAATGTTAGGTGTGACGGGGTTGGCAGATGGTCGTCATCACTAAAAACAGGTGGTCTGTGACCTGTTTATAGGCAGGAACCATCAAATACTCAGAACCCAACATATTATCACAACTGTTCCAGGCAGGAAGCAGCCATTGGGAGCACAGGTTTTTAGAGCCTTGATAACAAATAGATGAAATCGATCCATTGTTCAGGTCTACAAAGCTACCAGGTTATTTAAACTCACCCATTTTCTCCCCTAGCATTTCCAAAATCTTTCCCACCTGTTGTCTTCTTGCTGCTACATAATTAAGTTTCACCATCTCTTTTCCAAACTCTTTAAAACGGTTTGCAAGGTCTTGTTCATTTGTAGCATTTTTGACAGCTTCCAGAGCTTCCTCCACCTGAAGTGGTTAAAAAAAACCCCAGCATATTTATAAATGAATGATATGGAAATATTAAACATAATATAAATGGCAACTTCTAACTAAAACATGTATTAACATTTAAGTTAAAGAACAGAAGAAAGTATCTCTAACAATCATTTAGGGTCAGATTAAACATTTGTTCAAAATTTGCAGAATGCTGTTTCTAAAAATTCAATAACTGATAATCTCTTAAAGCATAAAAATACTGTATTTATTACATTTTACTCAGTTATGATTTTGAAAAAGAATATAGGGTTCTAATTTAAAATAGAAGCACTGAAGAAAATATATTTAAGAAAAACATATGGAATTTAAAAACAAATTCTAGAAATCTTCAGAGCAGAATGTAGATCTCTAAAACTGGGGAAACTCCTTGGCTGCTATAAATTTCGGACATATGGTATCTCCAACCGGTCCTAGAAATATCTCTAAATTGGGACAAAAGGACTGTGATTTTTAAGCTGAATCCACACCTTGGCATGCAATGGAAAGAGGAAATATCACATGTCTGGAAGCAAGTTGATCTGAAGTTTTCTTGTCACTTGCTGGTGACATCAACTAGAGTGGAACGGGGGTGGACAGAGTGAGAGCAAGCATTCTGCCTAATGATGTGCTGTGCTTCCAAATCCTGAATATTGTCGAACTGGAGTTTTCCAGAAAGGCACTGAACTTAAATTGTGAATTTAATAAAAATTATTTTATAAACTATTTAAGTGTTTTTGAGAGGTATTAAAGTGTCCTCTCCAAATTGACTTTAACTCTGATATGGTATGAAAATTTCCACATTTGGCAATCCTTCTGGTTGTAATATCTTGTGGACTCAATGAACATTAAAACTTAAGATACTGTAGCAGAGTAATCCACTAAGTGTTGTCAGTCAGGTAGCATTTTTGTAGAAATTATATTATTAGTGGAACTATCAAGAACACAGTATTGAGGGAATAAGGCACAAGATGCTTGTGTTTTTTCAAAATCAGATGTTATTAAGCACTAAGAGAGCTTGGTAGAGGTCCTCAACTAGTACAGGCTGCTGAGAGGCACAGAAAAGGAGAGGAGGCAGCTCTGAAAGAGCAATGAGAAAGCAGGGGCAATCCAGGCAGAATTCAGATCAGATCTTGTAGTTTTTGTACAAATCAAAGGACAGTGTATATAGACAGGTGATGTTTTCACAATCTGGAGGTACCAACAAGTACTAAAATGGCTGAGGAAAGACATAGATCAACTCAGTTCTGACATAATCACAAAGGCAGCTCACAGTTTCCTTATCAACTGGCACTGAGTGAAGGTAGAGAATAATGTATGTAAACCAGAGATAATGGATATCAGCCTGCACTTTATCCCACAGATGTGATAATGCCATTCAATCTATCTCATTTTGGTAAAGAAAGAGTGCTAGGAAGCAAGGGAAGTTATTTAGAATAATGATGTGTGTGACGGGGGTGGGGGACAGTTCAATGTAGACTCCGCATATAATTGAGTTTTCATTCTCATCTTCTATGGCAATTCTGCATTGTTTTCTTCCTAATTACAAAAATATAAAATTATAGTGTAACAACTCAGTGCCAATCTTTTCCATTTCCTACCCAGGACCTAATGATGCTAAAGGAAGAGAAGGAAATACATACAGAAAGGGATTGTTGCATCAGGAACTTTTCTTAGTCATTCAAATCAAATCATATATTATGGTATGAAATGGCCCACTGAAAACATTTTTATAGTTTAATGAGAATCTCATACTTCAAATCTTTAGAACAACAAATCAGTAATGCCTCACTTTCTAATAGATTTATAATCATCTTAACTTGGCCATCAACAGCATCACTGAGAGGACTCATTTGGCAGTTAAGGTGTTCCTGCTGCTTATGTGAGATCTAAATCTTTTCTTGGGACATAAAAACTGGTTCCAGGGAAGACCAAAATAATTATCTCAGAGGGAGCTAAATCCTGGATTTGTTTATATTTATATATAAAACAGGCTTCTTACAAGTTGTTAGACCATTTTGGAATATTTCTTTTGTTGTTCTACATATAATTTTTCTTCTCATTGGTTTTATCAGATGAATCCAGATGCCAGTTTAAGCTTATAATAATTATAAAACATACTTTGATGAGGTACTTTTGAAAAGAAATGCCAATAATGGGGTCTGTCTCTGTAAAGGTATACTAAGCCATGCTTAGAATTTGAATGTAGAAAGTTTTGAGGGCTCCTTGCATAAAAAGTTCTCATACAGAATCATGATTCAGAGTATGTTCAAGATCCTACAGCAATGGAAAAAGTGGAACCACTGTCTGGCTTATGTACATACTCACTGGTGGTAGATAAAAGGATGAAAGACAGAGAAAGAGAGACAGAGAGAGAGTTAGTTGGAGGAGGACGAAAAATATGGGCAGAGACCAGGCACTTTTGAAAACTCAAAATTAATATAAAAATCAAGTTTTCATTTTTGAACTGAGCCAATGATCTTTTGTTTATCTGAATGGCTGGGAAAAGGATGTTGACTCCTATGAATCAAATAAATTCTTTGCTCTCAAATATTTTCTAGCTATTTAGGAGTTCAGGGATGCCAGTTGAATAAAGGGAAATTTTTCTGTGGAAGAGTCTGAAACATTTTATACAAAACACCACTTTGTAGGCTCCACCATGATAGTTTTAAGTCCATCTGTGTGAGGAAGGCTATGGGATCAATTTGGTCTGGGTTTGAATGCAGAGTTTGAAGAGGGCCTCATCTTATCGTGAAATGTCTGCAAATGATAGGTAGAAGGGTAGAAGTAAGCTATAGAGAGGATATAGGTAGGAGGCTGCTCATGATGGCTCGACAAAGGATGAGGGTGTCAATGGCAAAGCTCTTTGATAAGATGGAAGATTGGAAGACACATACATTTTGGATTGCAAAATGGTTTCCAACAGACAGAGATAAAGGTACTTCCGTGAGGCAGCTGCCATACCCCCTCCTCATTAAAGTGCCCCATGATCTTGGGCAGTACAGACAACCATTCTCTCACAGAATAGGCCAGGTACATAAACACCATAGTGAGAACTCTGCTGAATCAGGTACTCCCCCTGTCCTTAATATTTGTAGTCATGGCATAGATACAGCTGAAAAGACTGAAACTTCTACAAAGGCATTAAAATGTGCTCTAATTAGTTGTGATATCATTGTTAGAGCTTATGACTTAAACATCTTCAAGGTCTTTTCATGGCTTGTTGAAAATAGCCTCTACCTCTAATTCTGGAGCAAGACTGCCTGCCATATTCTTTATGCTACAGCTGTGTCAAATTGTTTGAGATGGAGTCTGTGAGTCAGTTCCTGATTTTCCTGTACATTTATAAACAATTTAAAACCTTAGTCTGATAATTCATTTTTCATTATTTATGACCAAGAAGTAGGCATACGGGGATGGGGATGGTGATGATGTCGACCTGAGGAGTCACATCCTTGCCTTCCTGTATTGGGTGCTCCTCCGGTTTCTCTGCCTTCATTAAATGCCCACACCAGTACTAGAGATCAATGTAATTATAGTCATCATTTCTGTTAGGACAGACTGACCTCATTCCAGTGTCCTTGTGTTGATATGCAGTTGATTGAATTTTAAGTGACACTAAAAAAACAATTTAATAAATCATACATTACTCTCTTGTCAGAGTCTGATTTCACAACTAAATTAAAAATACCCATTTTGGAAATAAGAGCTGGCCAAGTGAATGAATAAACATGAAGCCCTCTAGCTAACCACTGTATTATTTTGTAGTTTACTTACCCTAGTTTGATCATCAAGGTCTCCTTATTATCATACTTTATCTTTCTGTCTCCTAAAGATAGGCTAGCTTTTTTGATCATATTATTCCCCTCCTTGATAAACTGACATTCTTTATTAAACTTTCTCTTTAGCTGCTAACAAATGAAAAGTAAAATGCTTTCAATTGAATGTGAGTGATTAAATGTTAGTGTCATTGTTCTTAAAGTGCCATGTTTTAACAAAATATAATAATATAGTTTGATATATCTAAAAGTTATTTTTTGTTTGGGTGGAACAAAAAGGTACCAGCCAGAGTCTTTGAGGGCTTATAGTATACCAGACATTGTTTCAAAGGGTTTATATCAATCTGATTTAGTCCCCCAAAGCAGCTCTTTGAATTGGACTTTTCCCTTATTCCTATTTCACAGTACAGAGACTGAGATTAGAGAAGAGGACTTAATCTGTCAGAGGTGACAGAGCAAGTAGGTGCAGAAGCCTGCATTTGGACATAGGTATGTTGCTTCAGAGCCCTTTCTTTTAATTGTTGGTGTCTGTTACATCAATTTTCCAGGAAGGGTAGCTGAAGGTTGAGTTGGAATTACACTCACTCATTTACTATGAAGACTCATTTAGTCATTAAGGCCCCATATGATCAGCCTCCAGGTATTAGTTAATTATTTCCCTACTATCTCTAAATTCTACCTCTTTGCCAAAATACATACTGCCATTGCTGTAGTTCAGCTTTACATTCATTTACTTGCCAGAGCGATTTTAATAGTCTCTTAATATAGCCTTACACCTTTTCAATTCCTTTTATACATTGCTACCAAAATTATTTATCTACATCACAAATCAGACCCTAAAGCTTAGTGCTACTCAAAGGCTTTCCATAATCTATGGCTAGAATGCAAAATACTCGCAACTTTACTTAAGACCTCCACAAGTTGGATCTCCCTGTCCAACTTTATTGTCACCTCTCCACACTCTACCTTCTGTTTGGACTATGAAATCACTTGTATTATTTTAAACCCTCCAAGACTCCTCTCTTAATCTCATGACTTTGTCCTTTCCTGAGTTTCTGAAGCTATGTCTAGTTGAACTCTATTGTCTGACCCTAATCCATCTCCTTTCTTATGGAAATAACATCCTATTTGCTTCAGGAAACAAACTCTCTCCTTGCATAGGTGATCATGTCCAAATTCACCCATTTTACCTGCTCTGTGAAAATGGGACTGTGCCCTTGAAATAATATTCATTTCCTAGTTGGCCCAGTGCTACGTGACAGGCACTGAAAGAGGGAAGGGCTTGCTTCCAGGTTGTACTCTGTTCTCTCATCAGGCATCAGGTGGTCAGCAGTTACCTTCTGTGTGAATCCCTTGGGCAATTTTGCAGCAGAATGCCTTTACTGAGATACCTCTTTGTGAGTAGCTATCCTCTGTACCCTAAGGGACAGACTCTTGTCAAGTTTCACTTGATTTTGTGGCACATCAATGACTTCTGCATCATCCAATGACCCAGAGCCTTGGCCTCTAACATCTGGTTCTCAGTCCTGGTGGTGGTGGTATTCTCTTTAGAGTGCTGTATCTCAGCATTAGGAATAAGGACTGGACATTGTATTTGCCATTCCATCATTCTTTTTAGAGTAATCTTTATTTCTCACTAGCCAATCCCTTGCTACTCCACTTTGTTACTAGAGTTTCCTCATTCAAATTATTGCATGGTTTCACTCTCATTATTGGACAGAATCATAAACCCTTCAACTCTTTTGATGCAGCAACTCTTTCCAGTTATCCCTAATTATCAGGCCCCAGTTTCAGCTCTAGAATTGTGACCCTGCCTGCTCAACTGGGGTTAGTGATGGGTTCAGGGAAAACCAAACCTCACTTGGTTCAATGAGGCCCAGTCTTGAGGGATCCCCTTTCTAGCCATGTCACACTTCCTCATATTATCCTGAATTGTCCAATAGTACAATTTAGTGTTGCTGATCCCATTTCCAGCTTGGGTAAGAGTTAGGAGGAGGCCTGGCCAAATTAAGAAGTCATCATGTCCCTTTCCCCTATAAATAATTAACTCAGTATGCAAATGATTCAGAGGCCAATCAAGAATATTAAGTGGGGACCTTTTGTTTAAGATGTTAGAAAAGAGGATTTCATCTTTCATGTTATGTTTAGTATAGGAGCATATAACCTTGACAATGGTTGGCAGTGACTTTAACCATAAGTAAAAGGCCCACAGAAATAGAGCCTCACTGAGAAAAAGGGCATAAAATCCTGGTCCTTGTCACATTTTTTTTGCCTTTACCAAGATTTAGCTGAAACTATTCCCTCTGAACTTCTAGTTTGCTGAGCCTATTGGGTTTTTGTAAACCTAGGTTGAGTTAAGTTTTTCTGTTATTTACAACAAAAAGAATCCTATTATACTTGTCTTCTGGGTGAGACTATAGCCAAATGCACACTTCCAACATTCATTACACTTACACTCCTTCTTAATGTCTCCCGCTCTGGCCTATAAGGTTTTGAAAGCAGGAGCCAAGTCACTTTTGAACTTATATATCTTACCACAGTGTTTTGAATATTGTAATTACCCAATGAGTATTTCTAAAAAATAACTGAATACATAAATTATGAACAATTTAGCTGCATGAAGTTAATGCCATGTTAGCTCTGACAGAAAAGACATGCTAAGAAACTGGGTCATATATTCTACATTTATAATCAGAGACAGGCTATTTTATGCTAAGTAAGCATTGTTATTCAGGCACAAGAGTCAAATGAGAGCTTCAGAACTATTGAGAAATAATAAGCTACTGATGCTATATAAAACAATTTGATGCTAAAGTCACAAAAGCACAGGTAATATTAAGATTACCCTCTGTCATCAATGTCCACAAACAGTAGGACAGCAGCATTAAATCTGCCCTTGTAGCTACTAAGAAAATACAACTTCCCCACGAAATTGAGTAAATGGTTATTGTTTGTGTTTTGATTTCATTTTTTAGGGATAAATTCTCCCATAATCAAGAACATAATTATTCCAGGACCTATCCTGATATACACATCTAGATGAGTTTATGTGTAATGTTACCACTCATGCGAATAACTGACAATATAATCTGATTACATTAATTCAGAGCCTAGGAAAAATAAATATCCTTTTTCATGATCACTGATTGAAATGCAGGATTCCTTTAAAATTGTGCGGTGCCGCACATTAACCTAACTCACTGACAATGTCAACTGATTGCAAGATAAACCAGGTGTTTGGCTGGGGAATAACAACTTAAACAATAAGAGTGATCATAATTCAGGATTTGTTAATAGTGTCTAATGTACAAATGGTTGCTTTAACTTTGCTCAAAATCATCAAATGCCCACATGGTTGCTAACTTGGCCTCAGAACTGTGTGTCACCCACTGTTTCATCACTATCCTCCTGAATCTGGAGTGGCAGCAGAAGCAAAAACATTTTACACTGCTATGAATCTTCAATATAATGTACTAAAACCTCCTCAATATCAAAGCATGCACAAACACTTTCCTGATGGAATAACTAGCATAATTCAGACAACTAAAATATCTGTGTGCTTTAAGAGAAGGACTCCTCAGCAGCCACATAAACTTGCTTTCAAATATAAGTGTAAGGCAGCTGACTGCAAAGAGGTCTGCACTCCAAACTGTATAACCTATGCAGAGCCACTAATATTTCACTCACTTTTAGCAACCGAATGGCATTTGGTCACAAATACTCAATTTGCCAACAATTACACAATGCAGTACAGGGCAGAGGATAATGACTGGTATGTTAGAAAAATAGATTGACTAACCTCCATCTACTTGGTGAATAATTGATGAAAAAACCATGAATATCAGTTTCAATAAGAAGGTAATTCTCTCTATGTTCCTATAAAAGAATCAATATCTGGAAAGAATATCCAAAAAGTTGGGCACATGGCCTAAAAGATGAAAAGTAAAATACTGTGTGTAATATTTATAGATAAAATAGCTATGTTTCAGTTACATGCCAGGAAGTTGGAGGATTCATTACAGATATTCCTCAATCTGAACTACCACCAGAGAATCAGAATCACTACTCTACTCTCACTAGAAAGCCCCATCACTTTTTTTCTTACTCTACATTTTATCATGCTATAGTATAGAAACTCATTGTTTGTTTGCAAAAAGCCTTAGGAAAAGCATAGATAATAGCTTTTAACCTGCTGTACCAAAACATGTAAACATATACCACATAGTCTTTATCCTAAGTTAAAAAATAAATAGATGTTTGTCATACTTGTGAGGGGATGTGTTTCTACCGACGTGAACTAACATGATTCTAAGCAGAATCAGGCACTACGTTTATTTATAATGACTTTATGAACACATTGCTCTTTTTAGGTGGTAAGACAAAAGGAAAGCTCCCTAAAATGAAACTCTAGACTGATAAGAACCCGAAGCAGGACATAAGCCAGAATCTACGCTAATTCAGTGATTGCACCTGCAAGTGTAGTTCCTCACTTGCTCCACAAGATAGCAACATTCTACCACTATTGTTTCCTTCAGCAGCTGCAGTCTAAGTAGAACAAATGTGATATTTAGTCTACAATCATTTTTAATTTTACTACTGACAATCTGACAGGACTACTTAATATTGCTGGGTTGACCTTTGCATGATTTTGTGCTAAATCCTTTTTTTTCCCCTAAACTTCCCTTAATTGCTGTGTGGAGAAGAGAATGTATTTGACTCTACATTATAGCAGGCTTTAGTGATATTAGTCAACACTGGTCAAAAGAGGTGGGTAGAGAGACAGGATTGCGAGATACAACTGGTGCCATGCATGGTATCACATGTATAGATTTAAAGAGGACTTTCCCAGTGTGGGCAGTACAGAGAGAATACTTAGCCTGCTATCATTCCTCAGTGATAGTTGAACAGGGCCTCCTGCAGCACAGCCAACAATGACATATGGGATGAAGTGTTAATTTCTTTACATTCAGCTCTGTTGCTCTCTTTCTAGGATAAAGAAGATTGACCTTCTAGGGAAATAGTTCTAAGAAGGTCTCCTTTGAAGAGTAAGTGGGCTGTAAAGTAAGGATGGTGAAACATTTTCTCCAGTATACTCAAGAATGAAGTTACCTACAGCAAAAAAGTGAGCTAAATTCACTGAGGACACAATATAGAGAGAGTCATGGGGCAGAGCAGTTGTGCTATGTAATTAGTTTAAAGGGTTGAACTATCGTGGTTGCATCTGAATTCCACTTAGCAGCTAAGATAACAGAGCAAGATCTTTGTCAAGGACTAGGAAGGTTGCCTTAGTCCCTGTTCCAGTGAAATTTGGGACCAGGACAAGATTCTGCTTCAATGAAGAAACAAAAGAATTAAAGGGAACTATGTCAAGCACAGTACATATAGTATGATATGATCCTGTGGGTTGACAGGGGACATATATGCTGAAAGAGTCAATGCAGGTATATTACATGCCAGACTTGGGACAAGATTGATGTTAGCCATAGAAGGTGAGTGTGGGGCAGCTTTTTATTGCTGGACTAAGGCTCAGAACACATAAACACATAAACACACACACACACACACACACATGCAAAGTTGGAAGACATAACACAACATGTTCAACATATGATCCATCCTATGGGGAGTGTAGTTGAGCATTTGACCAGCTACCCAGAAGAGCTGACCCTAGCCTGAATTACCACATGCACCAACATGGCTCTGAATCTTGAGAGGGAAAAGCCTAACCAAATGCCATTTTATATACTCTGGGAAGTAAGGAGGAATCCAAACTCTGTTTTGAGGGGGAGAAAATTATTCAAGTGGGTCTTGGATAAATTCTTGAATATAGTATGATTTTGTTATTAGAAAATTTGGTGGTAATACCATGTTGGTAAGTAGCCAGAGAAACACATCTAGTAGCATTCAGAGCTATAACACACATGGTAAGAGCACCCCCAACATAAAGGAAGTTTTTATAAGTTCTACATACGTACAATTTTCAGATGAGATAAAAGTCTCATGACATCTGCCATGTCCGCCAGGATGAGTAAGCGTGTTACAGCTGATAGCAGAGCTCTTGCTGCCCGTACCATGGTGCCACGCTTCACTGAGGAGCATGGGTCATCAGCAAATTCAGAGGAGGCAATCCGCATGGTCTCACCTGGAAGACAAACAGGGAGAGGCATATGGGTAGACAGGAGGCTGAGAGGGTGGCAATCCTAAAGATCAGTGAAAGCATGATTATTACACTTATTGTGAAATTCTGATGGCCAGCTGGTACTTCTGCCACCTCCAAAACAGCAGAGAGTCTTTCAAGTCAAGCATAAATAACAGGGCACATATTCAGGTGTAGTGGCCAAAGTAAGGTGTCTATTTTAAAATCATGCTTTTAACATCAACAAAATCAATTTGTCTAGTAGCTGAGATGAACTTTCCCTGAGTTTAACCATCCTCTCTTTATTTCCCTTGGAAACAATGCCAATTACTAGGCAACTAGTTCAGGTTAATGTTATCCTAGGGAGAAAGATTACAGCTCCATGGAGGGCTGCAACTTAAGACACTGGCCTCCTTAAGACTTTGTTCTTAATTGAGCTAATAAGGCAAGAAAAGAGGACACAGAAGCTCCAGATCCAGTCTTCCAATTGACTCTCTGCTGGGAACCTATTGTCTAATCTACAGAACACTTAGAATTGAACAGATTCAACACTTGTCAAATTCTGTACTAGGTTCTGAGATTTAAAAGATGGCTAGAAACATCCAGTTTCCAGGAGTTCGCAGTCTCACGAGAAAACAGCTTTACAAGCATGTAATCTGAAAACAGTGACTAAGTGTCATAATAGATGTATGATGAAGAATGTAGGTAGGGGAGAGGAAGTAGTTATTTTATTATTTAGGAAGAGATTGGTAGGGGGGAGCTATTGGCTTTCATGGGATGCAAAAGACAAGGAAGAAAGGTGGGAAGGGCATCTTAGGCAGATGAAAATTGTATGCGACTCTAGAACCAGGACACCAGCCTGAGTGTAGGGATCTCTGTAGCTCCAAGGAAAGTCACATGAAGAAGGGGCTGGATTGAGTCTGGAACACCACATAAGTGATTTAGACTGTATCTTCAGTAGAAAGGGAAGTGACATTAATAGATTTATATTTTTGGAAGATTATTTTAGTCACATTACATAAAATAAAATAAAAGAGGCATGACTAGGACAGAGAAACCAGGTAAAAGGGCAAATGCAGTTAAGTCTAGAAAGCAGTGATGAGGGCCTAGACCTGGAAAACAAACAAGATCCTGATTCAGAGGGAAAAGGTGTATTCATGAGGTCTGTTAGACACAGACAATGAATTTCAGGGCTGATTAGATAGGCAAAGAGAAGGTGGAGTTAAAGATAAAAAACAATATCAGGTATGTATTTGCACAAAGGGACAGGGAGAGTGGGAAGGAAGAGGAGATAATTAATGGAGATGAAGCTGACTCTGTGAAATAGGTAGAGATTCATTGGTGTCAGGAGGACTGGGAGGAAGCAAAAACTGGGCTTCCTATAGCAGAGTGTACAAATGTTCAAAAACATTGGAGAGTAGAGTTAATATGACAGATTATTTTTACTTTAGGGTTAAAATAGGCATTCAATATTTTAATAAAAATGATATACCTCACCATTGAGTAAAAGCTTGCATAGATAAATAAAACCAGGTATTAACACTGAGAATCTGTGCATCCTATAATTTATTCTAAGACACAAAAGAAAACAAAAACATCTCACCACATTACAGGCAGATCATCTACAGTAAATCTCTCAGTTAGTGTTATGGTTATTTAAACCCTCATAGTGATACTTTTTATACTTGAGTAATGTGGTCATACAGGGAAATACATTGTGCTGCTAGATTTTTAACAGGCTCTCCTCGACAATAAGCACATTGTATTGTCAACCAGCTTAGGTTTTAAACTCAGCTACTTCAGAGGCAGAGATTGGGAGGATCATGGTTCTAGGTCAGCTTGAGCAAATAAAGGAGTGAGACTCCCCCATCTCAACCAACAACCAGGCATAATGATGTGTATCTGTAATCCTAACTACCTGTGACCTGGAACAGACAAAAAGTGCAAGGTCCTATCCAAAAGACAGCTCAAGCAAAAAGGGCTTAGGATGTGACACAAGTGGTAGAGTGCCTGCCTGGTCAGCATGAGGCTCTGAGTTTAAACCTCAGTACCAGCACTCCCCCACCCC